ATATAGCAAATACAAACTATTAGGATTCAAGCAAAATCAAAATACAAAATATCATACCTTCATGTAGCCATTATAATTCAGTTTCCTGTTATGGTGCAAGTCTGACATTTAAACACTGATAAAAAAAAATATAATAAAATAAAAGAATCAGCTCCAGATATATAAATATGAAAAGATGCATAATTTCCTGACCAAAAAATAAAAATAAACTTGGGTGAACTCTGCTGCAGCTCCACAGATTTTTTGTTATTCAGAACAAATTCAAGTTTTCTTTGGCGATTACTAAATTGCATTTAACTTATGGCCTTAGCAAGTAATTACTTTAATTATTGGTATATTATAAAGATAGGGGTCTTAAAAGAAACCTCAGCTACAATTTCACATCGGTGATCCAGCGGATCCATTACACTGGCTGAATCCAAAAATCACATTGGTTTTGCTCAAACAGGTCAACTTTCTGAACTATGAAGCAACATGAGCATCAAAATCTCGGTTTCCTGACAATCTGATCAATGAGTGATGAGCAGGAGGAGAGATTCCATCAGGACAGAAAAGAGACGGAGAATTTTACACAATGAAGATGTAATGTTCAATTCACATGTACTTACCCTTAGTAGTGTTTATTATTCAATTTACAGAAATCCAAGTTTGTGACATTTAATTAATACATTATGTTAGAAAACCATCTTTTTCTCCAAAAAACCTTTTTTGGATGAGAAATATTAACAGAAATGAACTGATAATGTCACAAAAATTTCATCAATTTAGTCAGAAAATCAGATTTCTATAAAGCAAATTAGAATAAAAACCTGATTGAGAAAAATGGACGTCATTTTTGGATTCAGCGATGCAAAATAATCCTAATTCAGTTGAAAAAACAGACAATTTCCAAAATATATTTTTTGTAACCCAGTGTTGTACATGCCTACCATGGCCTCTACCTTGCAGTTTAGAGCCAGAATACCAATAAATACTTAAAGTATGAAAAATATATAAATTACCAGCCTTTTCGCTATTTGTGGAGCAATTATAAAAGCACTTCTTGCCAACAAAGAAACAGCTGCTGCAGCCATGGCTCTCTGTTAAACAGAGATAGTTTCATATATGGACGGTGACATCATCTGGATCCAAAGTACCTGAAGCCCAATTTTTGTGCATGTGGTAAATACTATTTTTGATTAAAAATTAAAAAGGATCTAAACTACAAGATGCCAAATAGATTATGTGTAGCCACTTATTGCTATGATACATCAAATAATGATGAATATTGATTTTCACGGGACCCAGCAGCATTTTGCTGCTGCAAACATCTTTTCATGCAGATAACAAATGTTAAAAACTACATAAAGAAAACTCCAAAGCTGAAATATGAGAATGATGGAATCTGAGTAAATAAAAAAGTCTGTCTTAAAAAAAGTTAAGCTGATATAAAAGCTGCAGGAGGTGCAACACTGTCCACATTCTCCAAGAGAATTTTAGAGCACAAACATTATTGTGAAGACAAAGAAATGCAGCAGAGGTCAGATATACATTTGTGAAGTTTAAAGTAGAGGTGGGTATTTATTGCCTTGTTTATCGTAAAAACTTTCGTATAATTTTGGTCAAGCATTTTCTTTCACATCAATTAATGATGTGAAAAAACTGACAGTATTATCACAAAAGTTATTTTTACTATTTTCTCCACAGTTTGTTCCATGGGGGCACAAGCTGATATTTCCAATAAATATCAGAAAATTGATTTGATGCAGTTACTACATGCAGTTTAATCTTAAGAAGAAGCCCATTTCAAAGGGGAATGTTAACCAAGAACCATGTTTGTGCCGCTCTGAAAGCTGTTCCATGCATTCACAGCCATAAAAAAGAGGCAATTAGTATTTTTCTAATTCATTTTTGTCGTTATCACAAGAGTACCACAAAATATTGCAATGATTTTCTAAGTCCATATGGTCCACTCCTAGTTCAAAGCATCGATCCTGAATTTTAAACTTTGAAAACATCATTCAGTACATCGTCTGCAAATGTTGAGCCCAGTTTGCAGTTTGGCATAAGGCCTGTAGAGGACGCTAACCTGTGAAAGAAGGTATTTGTATTTGTTTGCTGATATTTTGTGTTTGATATTCCTTTTGATTGGTCTCTTTTTAAACACCATTACTTCATATATTGGGGAGTAAATTTAATTTTACAAAGACTAGACTATACTTTCACAGCAGTGGAAATGCAGATTTTGATTTATGTTCTGACTGTCAAGGTTAGTAGATCTACTGGTGCCGAAATTTGATTAAAAAAGACCATTTTCAAACCTACAATGCAGACAGAAATAAGAACCAGTTTGTCTCTGATTTAGTTAGTGCATCTGCTTTCAAGTTCTAAGGTTTAAAGTACAGTGTTGCAGTGGCACTGTGGTGAACGGGTTCTAAAATCATCTTATTTTAATCCTAAAACGTCAAACCCATAAAACAAAGTTTATATCATCATCATCTCACCCTTTGTTAAAGATAAACTCAAAATAGAAACATTTGTGGAAAAGTATATCCCAATAAAAATAAATACAGAAAAAACATTAAAAAAAAAAACTTCAGCATTTAAATGGGCAGAACTTATTTTTACCATTATAGGAAGTGACCCAACAGTAGCAAGTCTAGATTGCTGATTCATTGCCTTAATCTGGTTAGTGCACATTAATATGGCAGTTTGGAATATTGGTATAGGTTTAAATGCAACTAAAAAGTAAAAATTAAACAGAAAATAACTAACAACACAGACAGAACAAAACCTAAACAACGCCGTGGAACATGGAGAAAGGAAGTGGCTGCACATGAACTGGTACCGTGACACACAGAGGATGGGTCAGACCACACATCAGGAGACAAAGACAGGCCCAACAAATAAAACATGTTCAATGAGATGCAACATGTGGAATATTTAAAGCTAGGTGTAGAAGCAACTCAAAGTCCAATGAGATCCAAACCCAGAGATTTCAGGAAGAACAGCTGACTTCCAAATAGGATCATCACTCATCTGGGCTCACAGTGGTCGTAAAGTTGGTGAAATGTGACTGACTGGGTCATAAATTCTCTCCGACTTTTCACACACAGAACCTGAAGCAGTTTGGAATGAGATTTCAGCTTGTGAGATAATGCGAGATTCAAACTAGCTGCGTTTCCATTACAAATGTGTGCAAAACTTTCTCAATGCTCCGCTAATGTCAGAAAATCACAATTTTGTAATTATGGTGTTTCCATTACATAAGAAACACAATTAGAATCACATGTGAATAAGTTTGTTCACGTCATTAGAAACAATACTGTGCCACCTTCTTCCAACTACTTTCTTTCGTCTTCTTTGTGGTTTGCACAAGTGGTAGTTGCTCATGACTCGTAATGCAAAGAACATGCTTCCGTTGCAGTTTTGTGAAATAAACCAATTTCGATACAGCCAACAACAACAAAAAAAACACCGCATTCTAGTGCCAACACTTTTTAGTTAAAATTGAGTTTTTTCAAAATTGCCGTGATTCCATTAAGCTAATTTATTATTGAAAATTCAAATTGCTCTATTACATGGTCAATGGCAACGCGTCTACTGTAACATTTCATTCCATGCATAACATGGAAACAAAAGTTGGTGTGGGCAGTGGCGGTTTCTGATATGGGCAACAGCCCAGGATGGCATTTGTGGAGGGGTGGCATGAGCTCTCACAGCATCACACAGCCTAGAAAAAAAGCTGCGTCTCTTTCAAACGTATTGAATCCACAGCTCTTCTCTGAAATCGTTGACTGCAATTTAGAGTAAAATTTGTTGTTTCACTGAACCACCTCAAACTTATTTTCCTGTTCCCACCTGGCGCTGACATGTGTTTTGAGTGATCCGATCCTGTGTGGACAGGATTCAAGAAGCAGAGGGAACGGTTTCCTTGGAAACACTTTCAGGTGGCCTTGAAAACGGATGTCTAAATCAGTTAGGCAGTCTGAACGCAATCTGTCTGGCCAAATCAGCATCTAACACAATTATATGGCTATCAGGAACGCTGTGTAAGCACCATTTTTAGTTTTGTTTTGGGTGTTGTGGTATTAACTGATGTTATGACATCCTAAAATTACTCCTGCAAAGTGCAAAATCTCTAAATGTGGAATGACCAATCATCTCTACGCACCATTATTCTCCCATACTGATAAAGTTGTGAAAACAGGTCATTGGCTGTTTTACTTCAATACCGTTCCCAGTTGAAATCTTTGCAGGCTGATGCTGTACTATAAAAAGCTCCACGTCATTTGTAGATTTTACTTCTCTTAAAACTAGACAGGTGAACTCTGTAGGAAGTGTTGTTACAGTCAGTGGTTCCCAACCTGGCGGCCAGTAGGAGGTCGTGTACAGTCGCACGTGTATGCAAGGTTTAAATAGTTTCAATTAGATTTTCACAAACACAAATGTCACGAGAGTTTAAGATTTGCTGCTATAAACAATAATAGTATTGCATCAGTCAGTCAGTATTCCTTGAATTACCCCAAACACGCAACCAGGAAGTCAACAAAATAGAAAGCATGAAGAGCTACAAAGAAAAAGCCAGAAGGCTTTTCTATTCTCTAAACCAGGGGTCCCCAAACTTTTTCCTGCGAGGGCCACATGACTGTTCCCTTTTCTGACGGGGGGGGGCTGGATTACTGCCGACAACATATTAGCGTTTATAGATAGATTTTTACCGAGAATGCAAGTGGGAAAAAACCGTGAGCGAAACGGTGACTGGTACTGACTAGTATATATTCCATTGAGGGAAACTAAGTTTCATATCTGCTCAAGAGCCCCCCTGGTGGTTGAAGAAAAATCTATAAAATATATATATACCTATAAAATATATATATATATATATATATATATATATATATATATATATATATATATATGAAAAAAACACTGAATGCTCTCTGGTATTGTTCAGGGGCAGGACCAAATGAGGAGGCGGGCCGGATCCGGCCCACGGGCCGTAGTTTGGGGACCCCTGCTCTAAACTGCCCTCTTGTTTTGGCTTTAATAAAAAACAATTTATTAAAATTGATGCACAGAGGAACCAATGGCGAGTATTTCTTGACACTTTTTAGCAACTCGGTAAAAGGGATGAAATTGCGTAAATATTTAGTATCCTCGTGTGAAAACAAAGACTGACGTGTTGAAAAGTGAATTAGAAACATTATGATAACATGCAGCATTATTCAAATGATTTGTAATATTAGCTGACTCCATCACCGGCACATAGATTGTCTCCTGCTTCATGCTTTTAAAAAAATGTAATTGCATTTTTTTAAATATGTATTTCATAGAGCTAAAACTTTAATTGAATTTTTATTATGGAGAGTAATTCAAATGAAAATAAAAATACATTCGCCTGTGATTAGAAGATTAGAATGCAAAAGATGTAACTCATGTTACCAAGTGTCCAAAAAGAAATATGGGACTGTCAAATGTCTTTCTGCTGAGCATCATCCATAGTGATCCCAGATTTAAGTTTCTAGCTAAAGTTATCATGTCTAGCAACTGCTTCAAGTTAAAGGTTTTACCAAAACTGACGCAAAAACGGTTGGGAACCACTAATCCACATAGTCAGAAACAGACAGTAAATAACTAACAGGTCAATCACTGGCATGCTGATTACGTCCAAAATCTCTCTTTCTAATGTCTGAAACGAATTCCACATCTGCATAACCTTAGTTTTGTTCTGTGAACGTATAAGTCTACTTAAGATTATCAGCACAATTCAGCCAAGATCAGTGTCCGAACCTGGCCTTGGTTTACACCACAGAATACTCCCTATATTCTATGTCGCAAAAGAAGAACATAAATGCCACATTGCTTTGACATCAACAGTCTCCTGAGTCAGCTCACTAAAAGATTTTACCCCGATACAGAAAAACAGAACATTAGCATGATGCAGAAAAGAAACAGGAACATAAATTCACTGTACGGCTACAGATAAAACACTGTGGAACCAAGCAGCTGTGGATGCTAGTCCTGAACAGAAAGGGTGGAGAACAAAGTCACAATTAGAGATGAAAAAGTCCAACGTCAAGATCTGTATCGGTTCTGATGTTTAAAAAAAGCCTCTAGATTAGTTATCTGTCACAATGTGCCTGAACAATGAGGGCAGATCTATTCAGTGTAGTTCTATACTTTGCCCCCTGAGCGACGTCATGCCCTGTTGCTTATTTTACGTTATATTTCAGGGTTTTCCTCAATGTATTATCAGTCTGGCTTTACTGCCCCCCAGCCCCCACCAGGCCAAGCATTGTTTGTTTATTGTTTATTTATTTATTATAGGGGTTTTTTCATGTTTGCCTTTTTAAGATTTTATAGTTACTGTTTAGGTATTGTTAGTAATGGATTCCAATAGCACAATATGACCTTGTGATATTTTCAAATTTCCTGTCAACTCTAAACATTTTTAACTAGAAAAAACGGTAGCGCAAGTTTTCTGGCAGAAACCCTGAATTTATAATTCCCAACCACACTTTCTGAACCATCTGAAAGAACGACTGTTGCAATTCATTTTTAAATGTTTGACCATGGTAGTCAACATATTGTTTTTGTCACTTTCACTTTCTTTATTATTTATTTTATATTGGCTGTAATGGTGCATTCAAGTGGGTGATTTACATTCAAAGTCTAGGTGGAGGCACGTCGATGGCCCGTTGCGACACATTTCAAGCATCTAGCGTGGTGCGATTTGAACCGTTTGACGCATCAAGCCCTTCTGATGCGTCAGACAAAATAGGTCGGCAATGGAAAACAACAGCTAGAGCGATTTTGACAAGTCTGATGCACCTCCACATAGACTTTGAATGTAAGCCAGATGTGAACGAAAGAGCGAAACACTAGGTGTAGAGCAAACTGTTAAGCATTTGCAATCAAAGTTGTTGTTGCCAGATCCATTTAAATATTTGATAAAGAAATACATGGAAATTATTTCTCTTCACCAAATAAATTTAAAAAAGGTGCAGTAATATCTAGAAGGACAAGTACAGCTGCCCGTGGTGGTTTCAGTGGAAAATGTACCAACCCAATGAAGAAAGCAACAGAAGGAGCAGCCAGGCAGACAAGGGGGAGTGATGAGGGTGTGTGCATGTGTGTGTCTGTTGGGGGTGGGGGGACATCATGTCCAGGCCAGCTTGCGGGACAGCGCCTGTTTGAAGCACTTGGGGTCCACCTCCCCGCCGGGCCACAGGGCTCGTTCCAGACTCACTAGAACGTTCTGGTGACACTCCTTGATGTTGACTGGGTACTTGGCTCTCAGCAGCTCATAAGCAGCAATTAGCCTCATGTTCTGTTTCACCATCAGGTACTGGATGATGCACATGGGCGCCAGAGAGAACCCGTCCCGGCAGTGGACCAGCACACGCTTCCTCTTCTCTGTGGATGCATTTATGCACTCGTTGATGTCCTCAAAGCAGCAGTGCTTCAGAGCCGGCCGCTCGTCCAGCGTGTCCGGCATGTCCCCCATGTCCACTTTGAGGCGGGACCAGCTGTGCCGGGACCCGCGGGAGCAGGTGCAGGGGATGAGGCTGAGGGAGGGGGCCGGCTCTCCGGGCGCGCTGCTCATGTCAATGATGCTGTCGATGTTGTTGCGGCACAGCGTGCGGCCATTGTACGCCGCGTTCAAGTTGCCCACGTAGATGTAGTCTGTTACTCGGGAAATGACCGGCTCAGAGTACTGGAAGTGTTCGGGGCCGCTCCGTTTGGGCTCCAGCACGTCGGGGGCCCGGGCCCCGGCCGGCCCCGTGGCCGCTCTCCGGCTGTAGTTGCGCAGCTTCTTGGAGCCCGAGCGGGATGGTGGGTTGGAGTCGGACTCAGAGCTGCTGTTCCACGGAGGGGAGAAGAGAGAGAAGCGGCTGGAGGATTTGCTCTTGCTGAGGGTCTCCACGGGGGGGCTGGGCAGGCAGGGGCCGGGGCTGGACAGAGAGGCCGAGGCCGACGCGCAGAACATGGAGGCTCGTTCTAGGGAACCTGTGCTGCTGGCCGCTCCTGCACTGTGGGCCAGTTCCATCTGGAAGAACACACACACACATGAACATGAACCTCCAGTCAAAATCCTTCATTCTGCTGCCAGTGGTCCTGTGTGGCCATTTTTGAGCTTTACATTATGTTAGAATGTTATTCCTTCATCAAAAACGTACCTGGAGTTTTGTTTTAGTTCTTTCAGGCATGTTCGGAAAATTCTTGAATCTCCCGTGGCAATCATTAGGAGTTCCTAAACATTCACTCATACAAAGCTCCTCCCATTTGCACAAAGCTCCTCCTCTGTAATCTGTAAGCCATGAACAACTAAGTGCAAGAAATAAAGGACCGAAATATTTCACTCTGTGTGTGGAGTTTTTTTTCTATATGGAGTTTTACTTTCTAAATTGAATGACAAAAAATATTGAACTTTTCACAAAAATCTATTTAGTTTAGATATTCCTGTAAAAAAAAGAAAAAAAAGTAGACTGGCATATTAGTACAATCCTAATGAGAATTTTTACTGTTTATAGTTTTTTGTTTTGTTTTGTCCAGGTTTACTGTTTTCCAAGGAAAACCAAACCAGCTTTGTTTATTGTCTGTACCTGAGCTTTGAGGTTGTTCTTCCACTCCTCAGTCTCCAGAGCCTTGAAGCGGCCGCTGCTGTCGGAGGAGACCGACGCGCACAGGGGCCGATGGGCTCTGAGGGGGAGCTGAGGAGTGAGGGCCACAGGGACATGCCTGGCGTTAGTGTGCTCACTCCTATTCATGGCTAGATCAGGACAAGAACCTGTAATACACAAAACATACATGTCAACCAGTGAGGACAAGCCAACCATAATGAATAATCATTAAAATGAAAATGCTGTGCCAGTCAGAAAGCTTAGAAACCAAAGAAACTAATATTAAACCAATGACAAGCAGTTCATTTCCTAACAATAGGTACTCCATTGTTGTAACTTAGTTGCTATATTTAGAAACTTTTCAAACAAAAAGAAATTGGTAATGGCCAAAATTGGAATTGGCAAGTCAGGCTTTTGAAAGATCAGTTATTGGTGATCGGGAAGAAAAATACAATCAGTGCATCCCCAAAAATCATAAGAGCAACGCAGAAGTGACTGATCCACATATTAAAGAATTTAGCAGTGTAGAGTATTAAACGAGTTAAATATGTCAACTGACGTTACAAACTGTTTTTCACAGCTGCTTGTTGCAAGCTATGAATCAGAATACCGTAGATGCAGTCGTACCAGCTATGGTCAGTGACAACATGCAACTTTATACTGGAGTTTTGAAAGCATAAAATGAAAAACTTTAGACTGATCTGATAATAATAGGTATCAATGGAGAAAACATTTTTTAGCAATTTGAGAATGTAGCACATTAGCATGGAATATTTGGTTCAGGAAGGATTTTCGCTTTTATCTGTTTTGGGGTTTTTTATATTTTTTTCTCTCACAATAACAACAAATCTGGCAGTTATTGAGTATTATGGCTCCAAATGTTGAGGCTAAGATGTCAGCATACTTTTTTCCCCCTCTAGACAGGCTGTAAATAAAACATCAAAACAAAATGCATCATGTCGCAATGAAACATCAGGAGAAGCAGAATAAAAGATGGATTTTACAGAAACATCAGCTGAGCTACAGTCGGCCTCTCTTCACTGACCAAATGTAAAATGACTATCAGGTTTATCACAAGTCCAAGGAGGACAATAACTCCAGGTGTGAACAGCATCACAGTAAAAACTGACCATTAGTTGATTTTAAGATAATAAATTCCGTTTTCATTTGCTTGGCAATATTAGGAGATATTAAAACATGGGCTGGGACTCGTTCAGAAACTTGTGTGTATTCATTCAGGCCGAGGAAATCGTGATGAACTTGCAGCTCTGGATCAGGCTATGAGCTCCAACATCTGTCGGTGTGACAGGTCACCTTGCTGCTGGGAACCGACTCAGAAACCACAGAACAGTCCTCTTACCGATTCTCCCATTGTGTCTGCAAAGCACCTTCGGATTTCGAAGTTCGTCAGCAGTCAGTTCTGGTGTCCACCCGTCCTCGGTGTCCATCTTCCGCCAACCGCAGCCAGAGGAACATCACCGAGGCTCGGTCGGAACGTCATCTTTGCCAGGCCGAACAGCACTTCAGCTGCATCTCACAAACATCGCTTCAGCCATTAGCAGCTCCGTTCGCTGCTAGCCAAACACACAGCTAACTCTCTGGGAGTTGTGTCAGTCTGCTAGTGCGGTTGAGGAATTCGGGTTAAAATGAGCGAAGACATGCTCACCAGCAGCCCGGGCTGACATGAGGGATAAAGCGGTTATATCGGTCCAGCTGCCGAACGAGGGCAGAATGCGCACCAGCTAGCTGCTGCTGGTTGGTGGATATGGAAAGTCAACAGGACCAAAAAACTTTTGACTTTTCACGCGTCCTTGAGGATGTTGAGTAAATCCTGTTTGGGCGCGAGGATCAAAAGAACGTAGAAAACAATGAAAATATAGAAGACCTAAAAAACGACCTGGAAGCACTTATTTTATTAGTTGCTTGTACTTGGATTTTTTAAAGTTAGTTTTATGCAAGATAAAAACCAAATCTGCAATAAAAAATATTGTTTCATATTGTCACCTTACTGAAATTTTGGCCTAAGTAATAGTAAATAATTAAATAAAATTTGTTAATTAAGTAATAATAATAATAATAATAATAATAATAATAATAATAATAATAATAATAATAAAATCACCACCTTTTCATTGTCAAAGAATTAGGTAAAAAGAAAGAAAGAAAGAAAGAAATTTAGGCAAAAAAATGACTTAGGCCATTATTTTAGGAAGGTGACAATATTTACTTATCAAAAATATTCCAAATTTTAGCTACAATTTTATAAAGGACAGCCAACAGATTGTGAACATTAATAAGCTCGGAGTTGACTTTTCTTAATGGTGATATATCTGTTCACCATTAAGAAAATTTTACCCTGATTTAATATGGCAGCAACCAGCAATATCAAGTGTTACAGGAGGTATTTCTCAGCGTTATGAAAAATACACATTTAAATTGTATTTCACAAATGCAGACTATACCAAACAAAAAGGATAAGTTGGAAAAAGGAAAGGGGAGAAACATTAAATGTATTGGTCTGGAGGTTTATTTCCAAGTAAACAAGACAAGCTTGAAGTTCCCTAAGTATTGTTGAAAAGCAGCAGAATATTTTGGTCATAAACCAGCAACAATAAGTTTCCTCTGAGTTCCATCTGTTTATCCAGTCACAATTTGAGAAAGAGAGATAAAGCCATCAGTTTGACATCAGCACTATGCATAACATCTGCATCAGACGTTTCTCCATATTCTTTTCAAAATACTAATGGTGGACATATTCCAAAGACAGGAGAGATGGTTCAACAAAGTATACATGACACACTTTTTACATTTATTTATTTATAAAAACTGAAAATATATAATTGGAAACAATATATTTTGCTTTCTCTTTACAATCATGCTGTTACATAAAACCATAATGAAATACATTTATGTTTGTGTTCGTACCTTCATAAAATGTGAAAGCATTCAGGAGACATGAATGCTTGAAATTTGAATGAAATCGGAAATTTGGATGAGCTTCCCAAAAATCCATGCTTCATAACTCAGACACATCATTTGACCTGATGAACTATTTAAGGAGATTTTCTTTGTGTAAACCCAAATCCAAACTCTGGTTTGCACAGATTTTGCACGAGAATGTAACCAGGGGTATTTTTACACGGATAGAATCTGATATTACAGAATTGTTGAGGTATTCTTAATGTGATCGAATTTTGTTGCCCAAATGTGAGTCCTACATGCATATCCTACAGTGTGATCAACATTACTGATTCACCAGAAAATATTTTTTCAGAATACTTTCCTGTCTATTTAAAATGTTTTTTTAATAGTTTATTTTCTTTAAATTTGTTGGGAACAGGGATTTTCCTTTTCAGTCCCAAGCTGGCGTTGACCTGCTCAGCCGACAGCAGGCTGTGCCACTGAGCGACCGGTCGCCGCGGGTTGGACAGCATGTCGGCCCAGTGCCTCAGCTGATTTCCTGTGGAATCACAGCCCAGGAACAGTTTTCCCATGCTGTCGTTCCTGCTCATGGCATCATGGTCCCAAACTGAGATCACCAGGTTCACCCTCTGAAGACAAAAACAAGACCAGCACTGAGAAACAACAAATAAATGGGGCCTTTATTTTCGATATTGACTCTTTTGGCAATATTGACAAATTTACATATCTGATTGTGCTTTGTGCGCATCTCAAAAAGTCAATATTTCAAACTATTATAGATTCAAGATGGGATTTATCAAAAATAGTGTGGATAGCTATTGTCAAAAAGGCTAGGCACCTTATGACCACATGACTCTATGTCCAAAGATCTAGGAGTAACTGGTGTCAGCAGTGATATATATAGATATATATATCAAGCAATCAGTCAAGTTTATTTGCATAGCACATTTCAGCAACAAAGCAGTTCAAAGAGCTTTGCATCATGAAAATACACATACAAAAAAATACAAAGTTGTGGAACACACAGTCAACAATTGTCAAGTGGCATTGTTACACGTCTGAATGTTGATTAATGTTTCATTCCTGATGTTTCAAAAGCAACTCTAACCTGGGGTTTTTTAGACTAAAGAAACTCAGTGCTTTTGGCTGTTTTACAATACAGCAATAAAGCCATATTCATTAATTAGGGTATGTCTTACAGTGAGGCTGGTTTGTCAGCATAAACATAACCTTTAAGCAGACATTAGACATTTCTCGCTAACCTAACATTTCTACATTAAGAATGTTATTTTATTGATCTGATTCAATATTCTAAGCTTAAATGAGTTTTAATTAACTGTAAGCAATAAGTCATCATAATCAACAAAAATAAAGAGTAGCAAACAACAGTCTGTGTGTAATTAATCCATGTCATGTATTAGTGAACTGAATTGAACTCAATGAACCTTTCAATGATATTAGAAATTACCAAACCTAATTAATTATTCTCACCTGTATTTGATCCAGTGACACATCAAAAGTAAAGGACTCGTTGAAATAGGGGTTCAGACTTTTCTTCTTAATAGATGTTATTCTTTTCTTCCACTTCCTTTTGTCCAAAGTCAGCTGTACTTTCACATACGGATCTACATGAAACAAAGAAGTGGAAGAAAATCAGAGAATTTCTGGTACCAGCAAATCTCTTTATATGTCATGGCTGGCAAATTGTTCCTGTCCCTGAACAATACACAGCCCTGGAAGAGAAACACATCAGCAAGCTAGTCTTACACAAAAATTTGATTAATTAGCTACAAATTAATCACTAACTCTTAGCATGAATGCATAAAACACAAGGAGATTGCTGAGACTGAAAGATAGGTTTGATATTGATTTGTTAAAGTCTAACATGTTCCAAAAAGTGTTATAAAAGGCTGTTGTCAACAATATCAGAGCTTATTTATTGTAGATTATAATATAATAAGGGTGAATATGTTTAGTTGTACCTGAGCTTCCTCCCAGGTCCATGCTCTTTAGGTCTTTGGCCTCCAGGATCACCACGGTGAGCTTGCTGCTTATTGGAACATAACACAGAGAGAAGCAGATCTCCCCTAAGTTTTCTTCCTGCAACACAAAAAAGTCACAACAAACTCTGAAAGTGTGTTCATTAGTTTTAGTTACACTTATTTATTTATTTTTTTACACAAACTGAGTGCTGAAAACATATTTAACATGCATTGAATAAAGGCTAATCATACTTCACTATGTGTGTAGTGAGTCTATGTACGTATAATGACTTGTTTTACATGGCTGACAAAAAATAGGGCTCTTCTTTAGCTGTATTTTTTAATTTCCTACTTTTCTCTTTTGAGAAAAAAAAGCGTCAGAAAATGAAACCTCAAACTTGGCGGGCTTCGCCAGGTCCTGCCACTCCTCGATGACGTGATTCTGGTCGATGTTGCAGAGCTGCACCCTGAGTTCGCCGATGATCTCATGTTTGGTGAAGCGGTTGAAGTCAAACACCTTCATCACGGCTGTGGACTTCTGAAGAGCGGACTTAGATAGCTGCAGAGATAGGAAATGGATTAAAAGAAAAAAATACTTCTGTTTCTTTTTGACTAATTTCAACTAAGGTACTCATCAGCTTATGTAATATCTACTACTTTTCTACACTTTAAAACACTGTGCTATTGAAATACACCATGGGCATTTATTGCCAATAACATACAGGCACAAATGATTCAGATCCAGAGTTAAATGTATGTACTCAGGAGCTCTGACTCTGGAAGGTCTCCTTGCCATTACCCTAATTACTTCCTCAGATTAATCTCCCTTGCACTCTGCAGAAATCTTCATCTTGTTTCCAATCAAGGAAAATGTGTTGGAACCAGATATTTACAAAGGCACAACCTTTTTTCACCCACCTGTTTAAATTAAAATTAAGATTTTCCTGTTTTTGTTCATTTAAATTTGCTAAATTTATTAATGTTCGATAAATGAGATAAAGACAGAAACAATTCTATCTTTCTTCAAAAGTCAGAAGGTTCTCACAGTAGTTTGCTCTTTCTTTCTGACAAGTCTAGTGGAACTGAGATTTTGCTTGGGATCAACTATTAAAAAACAGGTTTTTGCTGTTGTAACTTAACGCTTGTTGCCATGACACTGAACAAATATTTAACAAGAACCTTCTACCTGGAAGGTGAACTGCTCATTGAAGAAGGGGTTTAATGTGTTTTTGAACACTTTCGTCTCAAAAATCTTGGCCTTGTCAGGGAGAATGTAGACTTTGACATATGGATCAGAACTCCTGCCCAAGTCCATCGCCTTCAGGCTGTCAGCTTGTTTGATCCCCACTGTAAGCTGTGAACAACAACGAAATAGAAAATAAAATGACGGTTTTGTTAAACTGGCTGCTAAAGACAGTTTTAGAAGCAGATTAGACAAGGCCTAATCATGAATGTATATTTTCAACAGACTCTTCACTGTAAACATCTACGAACTGAAGTACCTCGGATAAAGTGGCGTTGTACTCCAAAGAGTAAAGCAGTTTTCCTCTATATTGTTTGACTGAACCGTAGTCAACATCCTCCATGTCTGGCTGAACCTGTCAAAGGAGCAAAAAAAAAAAATCTGCTAGCAAGGGTGTGGAAATGAAGATAATCCTCTACTCAGTTGGTTAGAATTCCACTAGAAAGTGGAATGGGGGCAGAGGGAGGGTTTATATAGGGGAATAATTATATTGTTTGTGCAATTTTAGTCAGGAAATGTGTGAGTGTAATGTTCCAGGTCATTCAGACCTGAAAGAATGTGTGTGAGTGACATAGCAGGTCACCCCGGCCTGAAAAGTCATGAAGGAATTCAAATTCGGA